GGGGGGAGGGTTGCGCGCTGTAAATTTACGGACGTCGGTCTTTTTTTTTTTGTCGCTGTGACGTCGTAATCAAACTGGGCGAGAGCGATGCGCGCGATATCGCGCGAGAATTCGGGAATGCTCGGAAAGCGTGGGAATAATTTGGCGCGCATTATCGAACAACGCGAACGCGCGCGTTTATAAATGATTTACGCCCGTCGCCGCGCGTGTAATAGTTTCGCCGGACGATACAACGATACAGGTGGATGGCATGAAAATAATGGGAATACTTAAGAAATACACTATTTGTTTTATTAACAAGAGGTTGAGGCCCATTTGTTTATATTAGTTTGTAACACGCACATTTCCGTGCCGCGCTAATTCTAAGTGACTTGTCCTGCATCACGCCGCGCGTATATAAGTCACCGCTGACCCACGGTATTTTTCTGTTTATTACATTTGTTAAATAAAATGTATCTTATAATCTAAAAGTTTCACAAAAATCATTGTTATAGGAAGAAAGCTTGATATATTAATGTTACATCATGATTATTCATAGACATCATAATTATACGTATATGCACCGAAGAGAAAGAAATGGTCGCAATTACAGTTGAACTTCGATATCTCGAACCTCTACAACTGGAAAACCTCTTGTAAGACAAAAATTTTGTTTATTCCTTTCCGCTCCACTGCGAAAAACCTCTATAAATCGAAATAAAACCTACCTTAACTCGAATTAGTTATCAGATATTTAGATTTATCATTTTACCTCTGTAACTCGAATTTAAAGTAGCCAGACTTCTACTATTCGAAGTTCATCTCTATAAGTCGAACTTGTATTGTCGCTGCCTCTGTAATTCGAAGTTGTAGCTATGTGTAACCATGAGTAATAGCCTGGTATTTGTTTTATTAAGGGAAGGGGCAAATAGTGACGGATTATTTCCTCTCTCTCCTACAAGCTAATTTCAAGTTTACAAGATATGATTTTTCATTAAAAGAATACTTTCCACTTTCAAATATACAAAAAACTTAATTAGAGTTTCCATAAGTTATGTATACGGACTAGA